CCCCAAAACCCCAAAACCCCAAAACCCCAAAACCCCATATTCTATTATAAAAGCTGAAAATTAAGATTTTTATTCGACAGCAAGTAAACTCTATTTAAAGCTGGCTAGTTAAGATTTGATTGACATAGTCCATAAGCATTGTATTGAAGTGGAAAATATTGACTAGGATTAAGAAGTTGCTTCGTATATATGTTGGAACTTGACTCCTGTGTCTTTAGTCAACTTGTATCATGTGTCGAACAAAGACTGGTTAACACCTGCTCCTGAGGTAGAATACACATAGATCTTCTTAGCTTCCTCAGTGATTGAGGACTTAAATAGGGCTTCGAAATTAGGGCGTCCGAAGATTATCTTCACAGGACTTTTGTGAAACTCTTCCTTATCTACAAAAATTCCATTGTTGTTATATCTAATTTGTGGCAGGATGGAGCTCTTTTGTTGCTCATAATTTTTAGATAAGCTTATCAGCACGAGTGCCCTCCAGAACAGAAAGCTCGGAATTGTTTTCAAATTCTTCTCAAGTGTTAAGAAAATATTAAATTCGAGCTTAGGAATCATCCAAGGGGAGTTAATAATATGGAAGAGGTAGTTTGAAATCCATGAGATCTGTTCACCTGCTCTTGAGATAAAGATTAGTTTTGCAGAGTCAAAATCAAAATCAGCATTCCTTCTTTTCTTCTTATCAACATTTAACTTTTCTTGGTGAATGACTTCTTCCAGAAGTCAAAGATATGGGCTGATCCCACTACCAGCTCCTACCATTATCACATTCTTTTTAGTGATAAAGGTATCATTAGGAGTTGATCAAGCCATGCTTATCTTGATCATTGGGTAAAACAGCTTATTTCTCTTCTTTGATGCTTTAAAAGATATTTCTTGATGAAGGTCATGAAGGAGGTTAAACATATCATATTCGCTATTCTCTTCAAGATCAAACTCATGCATCTTCATCATCCTTTTATTTTCACTCATAGAGATGGCGGATCAACTTTCCAGTCCAATCCCCTGCTTTCTTTATCATTAGTATCAAGTGAGGATTATTTGGAGAAGAGGCAACTGTAAAAGGATGCCATTGCAAAGGATGGATCACAGGTCAATTGATAAAGACATATTGGCCATGAACAAGTCGATAGTTCTTTGGCTTTTCTCAATACATCAGCATGTAAGTTCAATCACTTGAAACAGAAATATCTATAATGGAGAATTTGTTAAATTTGTGAGAAAATACTCTCATAAATTGCTGAATAAATATCCCTATTGTCCCAGGTGTCAGCATAATTAAAGCCATAGGAAGAACAATGGTAAACCAAAAGTCTAACCCGTGAATTAGAAGAGTTATTAAAAATATTGGGAAAAGAGCCATATGCGTGTACCCAAAGATCTGGAAGTAATTCATTCGTATTCACCTTGTGGAAGTAATAGCCATTGCTCAGATTACAAATAGCAAGATTAACCCTGTAATTCCGGGTAATGTACAAAATAATAATTCCCAATAAGCTGGGGCCTCATCAAAGTCTTGTCCTCCAGTTACTCTGTTAATTTCTGTCATATCATTTGCACTAGAGATAACTCTGAAAGAGCCAGCCAAATGACAGATTGAGTGAATTATTCCGTAAATAGTGATCAGGTAGCCTCAAAATTTATGGATCATGAAGTAATGGTCTAGCCAGCCTGAGATAAAGTTCTTACACCTTCTTCTTATACAAGTCATTAGATCATGAGATATAAAGAACAACAAGAGTGTCATGAGGAAAACTATTGCTGCTCATCAACTTTTGCTGATGAGCAGTAGGAAGCCATATTGATCAAAGTAATCATGAAAGAGGATAATTATTCCCATTATGATTGCGCATCCAAAGCTTGCTGTAGTGATGATGATCAGCTTAGGGATATAGTCCTTCCGCAGGTCAAATCACTTTGGCTTAACGATACCATTTGTGTTTGTATAAAGCTCGTATTCCATCTCATTTTCAGAAATTTCATCTTGCTGGGTTGTTAGCGTTGGGAGAACGTCCTTTATTAATTTTTGTGTAAATCCTTTTCTTATCTCTAGTATTTTCAAAATAATTTCATGATACTGTTCCTTGAGTTTTAAATAGAGAAGATAGTGCCTGGTAGCTGGAGGCTTTGGTGCCACTTTGGGATCATTTTGGACAAGGATTGGTTTGAAAATATCAAGATTTTCTTCTTCAATATTAACAATATTTTGTAATAAATCTACAGCTCGTGAAAAATTATTTGAAGAGCTAAAGTTGTGAGTCAAATCAATACCTATCCATAATCTGAGACTTCTCTTCCTGGATGAAATTTAGGTTAGAATTCTTGGTTCCAGATGTTTTCTTCTTTTCTTCAATCCCATCATTCTTGTTGTCTTCTGAGTTTGCATCTAACGAATGTCTGCCCTGGGAAGATCTCAATTTAGATGAGGATTTTCTAGAAATTTACCAAAAAAATTACTTTAATAATAATTCTGGTTTTTCATCTTTATTTTCAGGTGATTTTTCAGATTCTTCATCTGAATCTCAATCAATGTTAAGAATATCGACCATTTTATCAAATCAGGAATTGTTCATTCTGAGGATATGGTTAGTCCTGGCTCCTTCATAGAGGATATGCTTCAAAGTTGACCTAGTAACTTTCTCAAACCCATATCGCTTCTTGATAGCCTTGCATATTTTATTAGAACTTATCTTAGATGTCAAATACTGCTCAGAGAATTCGAAATTCTTTCCAAATGCTTTATTTTATGTAAATATCAGGATCATTTCTGCTAGGTCTTCTTTGTCTGCTAATTTTTGGGATAGGGATTGTATCTAGTGACTTCTTCCTTTCTTCTCTAGTTTCAGGAAGACCTAAAAGATTAGCCAATGGTTTAGCTACAATTCTTACCCTTTGATATATTAGGCACAGCTTGATGAGACAACAAGGAATGCCCTCGCGGGGCAAGTTTTGAATCATCTGAAGTGTTTTTAACCTAAAAAGTTGGTTAGTTATTGTAAAAAAAACAGTGAATTCAGACAGAAAAGAACTAGATAGAAGAAAGTAGCATGCTGATTACAAATAAGCAGTAACTCAATATCATGAGTTGCCTGAACTGGAACATTAGAAGATTAGCTTTCTATAATTTTAGGCTAGAAGCATTGAGTTTTTGAAATCCCTATGAGTTGTTTTACAGTTCTAGAACTAAGTTTGAAATATTTAAGCTAGAACTCTGAAAATTACTTGGCTGTCCTTTAATAGAAATAAGGGTTATCACTAAAAGGAATAAGTAAGTTTATATACACGGCAATTATGCATTCTGAACCAAAAGCTGATAACAAACTAATTTCTTATTATTTTTAAATTCTAGTTCCAGATTTATATGAGTGTAATCGATTGGATGAAGGACTGATTAGAGGACTCATAATTTTTACTTAACTCAGGCATTTTATCATCCCTCTTATTTAAAAACTAGGAGTTGTTCTTAAGAGAGTTTCCCACTGTCTTTTATTCCAAAATCCAGGTTATTTATAATAAAAATTCTGCACACCAAGCTATTTAATTGGATTAATTCTGCCCTTCTATTTTAATCGAGATATAGATGTTTAAAATTAAAATTTCAGGTTTAAGCCTAATTCTGATTTCTCATATTTAAAATCCGTGCTTCTTTATTTATAGTAAAAAAATTCCTGAAAAAGTGTTTTTATTACACTAGACTTAGAGAGGCTACCATATTTCAGAATTTCGTAGCCGAGTAGTAGAGCTATAAAGCTCCTTCTTACCTTCAAGTTTGGCTTTTGTATCGAATCGTTAATCAGTGTATTCAGAGCGAACAAGTCTTGGTTATCCTAAAAAGGAAATTCAATGGAAGGGGTTGAGGAATTATTAAGAAAATCTTAAAATTAGAGTTAACAACAAGTAAGGTAAAGTTCTTCATTCTTATCAGGCCTTCTTTGAAATGATCCTGAGGTTCTGTAAAGAATCACACAGATATATCCAGTTTAGTGCATATTACATAAAATGGAAATTCAATCGACACAATGCCATGGTTATAAGTATCACTCCAATTTGATGGTGAATGGTGACAATAAGCCGATATCTTTATTCCAAGGTTAGTTAAACCTCATACCTTATTGTTATCAATGACTAGATTGTTGAAAGAGTCATCAAACTCAAGATTCTCATCAAAATCTTCCATTATTTATGTTTTGAGGTAATTTCTATATTTTTAAACCATAATGGGGTTTTGGGGTTTTGGGGTTTTGGGGTTTTGGGG